TATGAAAAATAAAACTTAAAAAAACCTAACAAATTTTTTCTTTTTCCTTCCTTTTCCCTTTCTCTTTCTCTTTCTCCTTGGAACCCAGCAGGCCTGGGTTCCTTCGAATCTAGCATGCCTGGGTTCGATGGAAGCCAGGCGTTGGGTTAGCAAGGAACCTAGCACGCAAACCCAGTGGAACCCAGGCACTGGGTTTGCAAGGAACCCAGCACACTTGGGTTCGGTTCCTTGCAAACCCAGTGCCTGGGTTCCACCAAACCCAGTGCCTGGGTTCCACTAAACCCAGGTGCAAAAAATTTAAAAAAAAAAATTTCTGCTTTTGTTTTTTGGATTTTGTTGTTTGATTGTGATGAAAAATTGATTGATGAAGATGAAGAAGTAAGGCAAGGTAGTCGTTGGGTTCTTGCAGGTGCTGGGTTCAATTTCAAAACCAGCAGCTGCTGAGTTCAATTTCGAACCTAGCAGCCACTAGGTTTTTGTAGGTGTTGGGTTCGAAATCGAACCTAACAGGCGGTGGGTTTCATTTCAAACCTAGCAACTGCTGGGTCGATGGAGCCCAGCGATTGCTAGGTTTGAGCAGTCGCTGGGTTCCTGTAAGTGAAGCTCTGGGTTCCATTTCGAACCCAGCAACCGTTGGGTCGAAGGATCCATTGAGTTCAATCTGTTAATTTGTTGTGTTATCCTCAAATTTAATATTAGGAGTTAGGGTTTGCAAAAGGTGAAAGGAAAGGGAGAGGAAGAAGAATGGGAAAAAGGAAAAACAAATGAAGAAAAAAAAAAAGGAAAAAGAAATTTTTTAAGGTTTTTTTTTCTTGCCATCTCATTTTTTTGCCACGCTGTACATCTTAGGTGTCAAAAATGCTTTTACATGTCATCCTATTCCCATCGAGAAATGGGACACGTAGATTGATATTTAACGGAATGACCAAATTGGGGTAAAAATGGTAAACAGTAAGGACTAAATCAGAGATTTTTTTAGTTTACGAACCAAATCGAGGGTCCGTACAATAATTTAGAGATTAAAATGAGGTTTTAACCATGTTTATATAAAA